GGCAGTCACCGTGAGGGGAAGGCCTGATTGGTCCTGGAGCAGCAGGCATTGGTGAAAAGGACTCACCAGGCTCAGCAGTCACCGTGAGGGGACATCAGACATCCTCCCCTGGAAAGAACAACTCAGCACCAGAAGCCAGCTCGGCACAAATTGTTTAATAAGTCGTCATGGGTTTCCTTCCCACAGGTGAGTGTGAACAAGCACCAGACAGTAAGGCCAGGAGGCTACCACGCCCTCGATAGACGTGGCCACCTGGAGGTCCCCAGGCCATGCCAGGGGAAATGACACAGCAAGGCCTGGAGACTGGGATTCCCTGAAACTCACCTGCGGGGTGCCAGGGGGAGGCCACATGCCTTGGGATCCCGCATAGTGCCTGTGCTGGGGCCCCGACAGCTGGCCACTGGCCGGCAAGGAGGCCCCCAAGGTCTGCCTGCACAGGAAGGCAGAGCAGCGCGGGGGGCCAGGGCGCCTCTGGTGCAGGTTTCTTACTGCTCAGCTTGCGGGCGGTGTTCTCGGACCCGGGTCAGCTGCCCTCTTCTGCCCCATGGGGAGGGAGGGGAGGGTCTCCAGCAGGAGATGAGGGGAGCTCCCCAGGGCAGAGCAGCCCTGGGCCCCTCACCCCATGCCTCTTATCAGCATGGAGCAGCCCCACCCCAGTGTAGAAGACTCGTCTTCTGGTGAGGAGTGATGGGGGCACCCAAGGTTCCAGTAAGGTACAAGCATGAAGGCCGGGACAGGAGACCACCCTCCCGACAAATAAGACAGGAAGGCAGCTAGCAGAACCCCGTCCTCAGCCGGGGCAGCTCGGGGTCCCAGGCCAGGGTGTGCTCACAGACCCCCTCAAGGGATGGCTCCTGGGCGGAACTTCCTGTGGCTGGAGTGTGTGGTGGAGAGACAAGAGTCACAGCTTCTGAACAAGTGGTTGGGACATTACTGGAAAACTGCATCAAGTATGAAAGGTGTCATGGAAGAGTACAAAACAGCTTATCGATTTTTCTGGAAGACATTTCCTTACACACACACTCTGTGTGTCCCTAATACAGGAGGCTGGGCCTTCTGACAAGAAGGTGATCCTGGCGTGTCAAAGCTAGTGGGCCGTGAGAGGGCAGGGTAGGGTGTGACAGCCTCAAGGGGGTGAAGGCACAAGTACTAACTCAGCCTGGCTGGGGACTGGGGTCCGGGCAGAGTGAGGGGGGGCACAGCTGAGGTGGCGCCACGGTGCCTCCTTCCAAGTCTGGGGCCGAGCTGGGCGGGCGCCACATTCCCTGAACGCAGGACAGTCACTGCCCCATGCAGCTGTCCGGAGCCGCGGGGCACGGGGGTGGGCAGGAGGGGGGTGAGAACTGAGGTGTGTGGGGGCTGCCGGACAGAGGCGGAGGCAAGAAAAGAATACCGCCTCTAACGTTATATATTAAAAATATCCATAGTTCTTGTGCACAAAATTCCATCATTCACATAGGAGCATCACCCCTGCCTCCCGCGGTGGCCCAGGAACAGCCTTAAAGAAAGATGGTGCTTTTCCTGTTCAAGAGCTGAGGAAGCGTGGCTCAGTCTTTATGGACCTTGAGAACTGGTGAGCCCTCCCCTCCCACCCTGAGTCTCGGCCTCCCGGCCTCTGCCTGCCTGGATGGACACTGGGATGGCTGGGCGGGGGGCGGTCACTCGTGCCTCCGCTTGGAGGGTGGGATCAGGTGTGGGGGCAGGTCGGCGGGCAGCTCATGGCCCTCCAGCTTGACCTTGATGAGGTGGTTGGCCAGGGCGAACTCCTCGTCGTCCAGCAGCCCGTCCTTGTCCACGTCGGCCAGCTTCCAGATCTTCCCCAGCACCGTGTTGGGCAGCTTGGACTTGACCATCTCCTTCTTGGCGTTGGCCCCCGTGATCTTGCCGTTGACGGGCGACAGGGTGTAGAAGATCTCGTCGTAGGTGGGCTTGTCCTTGCCCACCACCCACTCGATGTCGTCGATGCCCTCACCGGCACCCTCGCCGTAGCCATGCCCAAAGGGCCCGTTCATGGTGCCGTCGAAGGCGCCGCCCTTCACCGCCTGGGAAGGCATCTGGGACTCCTCCTGCCGCACCATCACCATGAGCCGGGCGATGTCATTCGCCAGCATGTCGTCCACCGTGTCCAGCAGCTTGGGTTTCAGGGCCTGGAACTTGCTGAAGTCTTGAGTCTGGAGGAGCTCCTGTTGAGGGAAAGAGAAAGGCTGGGTAGGTGACCCCTCTGATTCCCCAGGTCTGGCCCTCACGGGGCCCTGTGACAGTGGACCGAGCTGTTCCACGCCCAGGGCTTGGTCTGGCCAGGCTTCCACCCAACAGAGACGTGACAGCCCTATGCTGAGCCTGGCACACCCTGCCCCTCCTACCACTCGGGGTGAGTCACCCACCACCCTCTGCCTCGTCACTCGGGGCCCCCTTGAGCAGGCACTGCCCCGGCCCGGCCCCCCCGTGCTGTGCCCCTCAGGCCGCACCTGCATCTTGCGCAGGCTGGGGAAGTCGCCGGGGGAGATCTGGTGCTCACGCTCGATCTTCTGGTAGATCTCGCCTAGGTTGTTGACCAGCTCCTTCTTCTTGCTCTCCTTACCGAAGACGTTGGGCATCTCCTTCTTGAGCGAGCTGATGATGTAGGCGTGGACCTGGGCAGGGGCAGGGGACAAGGGACGGTCAGACCTACGTGTCTGTCCACTGCCCCAGGTACTGCTCTCTGCTGAGGAACAAGGAGGGGAGAGGGATCGCAGAGTCGCTGATTCTGCCAGGGGTTCCCATGGGCCCAGAGGAGCAGGCAAGCCATTCTGGCCTGGGGCATGACCGCCCATTGCCGCTGGACTGCAGAGAAGACAGCAGTCACCCCTGCCACTTTGCGGTGACTTTAGAAACAGCAAAGGGAAGTCATCCAATGAAGACTGCTGGCTGAGCCCCCTGGTACTCCAACTACATGCTATATGGTCCAGGCCCCTCACAGCGACAGCAGGACTCCCCACAGCATTGTCACGATTGTCATCTTTACAGAGCTGACTGCTGCCTCCTTCTCTCTTGGAGTGCTGGTTGAGTGTGAAACACTAGCCTTCACTTGGCAGCCAGACATTAACCACGGTGCCTCCCCTGGGTGGTGGGACACCCACTGAGTGAGCTCTCTGGTCGCTCTTCACCACGACCCCTGGGGCAGACTCTTATCACACTCCTTGCACCAACCCTAACGGGAAGGCTCAAAGCTCCCTCACCTGTCCTCTGCCAGCAGTCCCTTCCATCCACAGTCCCCTCTCAGGTGACAGAGAAGCAGGCATGGTTCCTACAAGCTTACTGAAGTCTGTCCTGACCGGGGTGGGCTCAGACCTGTGTGCAGTGCTTGAGAAGCGCAGGAGCCTGGGAGGGGCAACTCTGCTCCCCTTCACTGTCACAATGTGTCCCCAGGTCCATCTCAGCTTGGAGACTGGCCATTTAGGGGTGACACTCCCACATGCCCTAAGGCGTCAAGTGCCACTGGACCCCCTCAAGTCCCCTCTGCTGTCAGAGAAGAGTGTTGGGGTGCCGGCACCTCGGCTCCGTGTCTGCCTCCCAGCGCTCCACCCCCGGGGCCCCTCGGCTCACAGAGCTGCTATCTGGGTAATCTGTGCTGGTGAACAAGGCTCCCTGGCTCTCGGAGCAGGGGGTGGGGGTGGGCCTGCGAACACAGCTGCTGCTCTGCCTGACCGGCCAGGGAGTCAGGGTGGAGGGCACACAGTGCAGAAAGAGGAAGTCTGGGAACAGCAGGGGTAGCCCAAAATGGGGAGCCCGGGGTTTCCCAGACTGTGACACCGACACTAGGGAGGGAGTAGCAGTGACCGGAGACTTGGCGTCTGCCCGGAAGGCCGGCAGCAAGAGGGCACTGGGCCTTAGACAGTGGGGGACGGGGGTGTCTCAGGTAGCCATGGAGGCTTCTGTTGGTTGTACATGTCTTCTCTTCGGGTCTGGTCTCAAAATCTTACTCTGAGGGCAAGTCACCAGGGGAACAGGTGACAAACAGGTCAGAATCTGCATTCCTCACAAACTCCACGGCTGCAGGTCTGAGGACCCCAGCACAGTGGTAAATAAAGGTCCAGGAGAACCCAAAGACTACCCACCAAGCCCCAAGCCAGCAAGGGGCACCTGGGGCTGGGCTCTGCCCTCTGAGGCCCCCCATTACCAGTTAATCTCTGAGAAACGCGGGGACAGCACTCCTGAGTCCACACATGCCCACATTTTCCCACCGAGGTGGAGTGCACGTCTAAAGGATGTAACACCTGTTTTCCGTGGCTGCCTTCACCACAGGTGAGCTCACGGGGCTGACCACTGAGAGGTGAGCTGGGCTCCTCGAGTGCAGCGCTAGCCGGGCCTGAGGAGGGGGACAGACCTGCGGCTGAAGTCCGCCTGGGAACAAGCGAGTCCCTGATGAGCGTCTGGATGGACGCCTGATCCCGCGGGAAATGCACAGGGGTGAACTCAGTGCTTCCCGGCCATTCAGAAAGTCTGGCTCAGTCCAGAGCCACTGAGTCGACCACGAGGTACAGGGACCCTCCAGGACAGGGAACTGCCCCGAGGGCCTCCCAGGCCCTGAATCTCCAGAGGAGCAGACCACGCATCTTTCAGCTGCAGGGTGACGGGCAGGTTCAGACCATGGTCCTTTCACTGGACAGGCCAATGTCTGATCCACCGTGCCACCAAGGCTCCGGTAGGTCAAATACTCCTGCCCAACGGGTCATCCCCTGGTTGTACTTAGGATGACCCTACTCTGGGTGTCACCTGGGAGGCTCCGTTAACAGGGCTCTCCAGACTCAAATGTGCTACAGAGAGTGACACGCTTTGTCCCTGGGGCCAAGGACTCCCGGAGGCCTGCACCTCCCAGGTCCAGCTGCCCTGAGGTCTCTGCTCGCGTCCTTGGCCAGATGATGGGACAGATGTCAAACTCCAGAACAGCTCTGATCTGGTCATCAGGTACCCACTTCCAAGAAGAGGGGAGGACGGCTTCCCCGGTGCCCACGGCCTGCCCCCCACACCTGCTCCACTGACCTGGTCCTCGGGCCCTCATCTCCTGCCCCATCCCTGCAGGGCTCCTGCCTGCCCCCATGGAGACGTGCAGGCCCAGCTCCCCACCTGGCTTCTGCTGTGTCCTCCACTCCCCGTGACAATACAGACACACCCAGCTGCATTGTTTGATTCAATGTCCTGTTTTCCTCATTAAGGCTGAGTGCGCCAGGAGGGTGGGGAGCGTGTGTGTCATTCCCACCGTGACCTGCACCCAGCTCCTGCGCGGGCACCGTCCTCCATCACCCCAGCAGGCCAAGCCAGGAGGCTGAGAACCCAGCCTAACACCCACCCATCTCCACTGCCCTCTGGCTTCAGAAGGAACCATCCACTTTAGCACTGGGGCCCTGGTGGCGCAGCGGTTAAGCGTGTGGTTGCTAACTGAAAGGTTGGCAGTTTGAAACCCAGACCCGCTGTGGAGAAAGTGTGGTCTCTCAGCTTCTGTAAGGAGCACAGCCTGGGAAACCCTATGGGGGGCGCCTCTACTCTGATGGGGTCGCTGGAGTCAGAACGGACTCGACTGAGGGCAGCAGGACTGGTTTTGTTTTGTCTCCATATGCTGCCAACAGGGTCAGATTCTCTCTGGAGTAAGGAGGAGAGACCATGACTGAGAGGGGAGAGATGGCCAGGGGACAAAGCTTCGTTTAGCTGAGGCGGTACCGAGCGGCCTGGTGTGGACAACCACGTCAGACCTGCCTGGGGCCCGAGTGCCAGTCCCAGCGTGCCCTCCTCGGCCCCGCTGTGCCCTGTCCGCCCGGGCCTACCTTGGCCAGCCGCGCCCGCTTGATGAGGTCATTGAGCTTGCGGAGGGCAGCGTTGCGGGGCAGGGACTGGATGTCCTTGAAGAGGTCTTGCTCCTCAGCCTCGAAGAGCTTGCGGTTGTCGGGAATGAGCAGTGGGTGGGACCAGAAGGAGCCGATGTACACGCGGACCACCTCGGGCGTGTTGATGATCTTCCCCAGGGACCACATGAGGGCTCCGTACACCCGCATCAGCTGCTGGGTCTCGATCTGGTCCGCCTTGTTCAGCACCACGCGGATCTTGTCCTCGTGGTTCTTCAGGGCCTTGATGACTTCCGAGAACTCGTCGGAGATGTCCAGCTTGTGGGCGTCGAAGAGCAGGATGATGCGGTCCACACGCTCGGCGAACCACTCCAGGACGGCCGCAAAGTCATACCCTGGGGGGAGGAGGGGACAGTGAGCTGGGGTCACTGACTGCTGAGGTCAGGCTGCTAACCTGGCTGGGAAGTCTGGGCGCAAGAGGCCCTTCTGAGTTTCCAGAGGGTACCTATTTGCACAACGCAGCCCAGAGGTGCCCGGATACACCCCTGCCTGGCCACTGTGTGACCGGGCATGGCGGAGATCCAAACAGCAGCAATCACAGCTCTGCTGGGTGCTAGGCTCCCCGTTTTGCATGCACCTTATGCACTCTCTTCAGCAGGAGCTGGGTGCCAGGTCCAGCCCACCACTTACTTGTTCTCAGAAATAAAGTTTTATGGAACTGAGCCATGACGACTTGTGCCTTCTATACTTAGGCTTTTGCTCTATGTCAGAACTGAGCTGCTGTGACAGAGAGGGAAAGCGCTTCCTGTGTGACCCTTGCAGGCACAGCTTGCTGACCCTTGCTCTACAACGAGCCTCGGGAGGCTACAAACCACTTCCCTCTCGAGTTCTTCTGTGGTTCTCTGAAACAGAGTGGCTGGACAAGATACACCAACGCTCTAAACTCTCTTTATTGTTTCCCACTGACTGATTAAGGTCATTTGGTGAACCTTGATTTCTGGTGCTGAGGTGGCCACTAGAATTCTTTCTTTCATCCTAGAACTCTAACCTTAGCTGAAAATGTGGCTCCCAGACTCCCTTGCAGGAGAAACCAACAGGAAAAGGTGTATAAAGCTTCTGTTCTTTCCTTTTATCCTGAGGACTAGAACGCAGAAATGACCTTGGGCTCAGGGATACAAGTTACTTATTCAAGGTACTCATGGGATTGTTTACTGGTCACATAAATCACTAATATCTCATTTAAGCTCCTGAAGCTGCACTGCGATCCCAAAGGCACACAGTTCGAATCCACCAGCTACGAGCTCCACAGCGGGAGAAGGATGAACAATCTTCTCCTGTGCAATTAACTGCCTCCAAAAACCCGCAGGAAGGTCAGCTACGGATCGGGTGCGGCTCAGTGACACCAAGACGATGACATGCGGCCTAGTGGTTAAGGAGTAGCACTGCCAACTCAAAGGCATGTGGTTTGAATCTACCTGCTAATCTCGGGGGTGTGGGTGGGGAGGGGGGAGCATAATCTCCAGCGTGATTTACAGCCTCTGAAAACCAGCTGGAGAGTCAGCTATAATGTTCCGACTCGAGGGCACCTCACAACATCATACCCCTGCCACTCTGCCCCAGGGCGCTCTGGGGGTTTAGTCTGTGAAGAGCTGCACTGCTAATCTAAAGTCAGCTGGTTTGAATTTACCAGCATTCTGCCAGAGAAAACCTGGCAATCTTCTGTGAGTCACAGCCTCCGAAAACCCACTGGAGGGTCAACTATGATTTGGCTCTGACTTGACGGCAATAAAGGGGTGAGTGATGGGGGTGGTTTAATTTGTGTCCTATTTTACAAGCATGACTCTTTTAAACTTTGGAAAATTGGCAAGAGGAGGCACTCACTGCTGTGGAGAAGTCTGGAACCCTGGACCGAGACAGACCAACATCTGTCCCGCTCCCCTCACAGCCTGCTACCTCATTTACAACGAGGCGTGCTCACCACCTCCGAGGACTCTTGACTGTGGGGAACAGAAAACTAGCAGCAGAGAAGGCGACGAAAAAAGCCCAGGACAAGCAGAAGATGGGCCCATGCACCCACAACGACACCAGAAGTCCTTCCATCCTGGTAAGGAAGCTGGGGAAGGACTCCAGACAGGCCTTGGGCTCCAACCCAGAGGCCTTGCTGTCCTCATCCGGCCAGGCCCTCCAGGCGAATGTGTCAACAGCCCTGGCTCCTAGTTGGAAGCTCAGGGACCCTCAGGTCCCCTCAGGTCAGACCCAGCCCTGTCCTGCTCACCAGGTCTTTAAGATAAACAGTGACATGCTTCTAATGAGCAGTTTGAGTGGACAAACATTCGTTGTGTGGTTTGGGCTGTCCGGGAGCCTGGGCCTATACAGCTTATATGGCCTATACGTGGCTACCTGGCTCTAGGCCCTGACCATGTGACTTCAAGTTCTTGGCTGAAGATCCGAGTTATACATCCTTACCTGTAAAATTTAAATACCCTTAAGAGGACAGGAGAGCGGGATGAGGTGGCCGTGGTCAGGCTTGGGTCTGGGGAGCAGCAAGGCCTGATGGGAAGCCCTGCAGGGATCCGGCCACCAGCCTGTGACTCAGGCACGTGGTCAGGCACGTGAGGGCTGTACATCAAAGGCCTGGCGCTGGGGCCAGAGGTGAGTGCTCAATATAAGTTAAGGCAAGACACTGAAACTTCCAGAAAATTACAAACCCTATGGGTTAAGCTAACTTACTAAAAGCAGTGCCTTACAACCCCATCCCTGCCTCTAAAACCCAAGCTCGCTGCCTTGAAGCCAGTGTGGAGCTGTTACGACGCAAGGTGTCTGAGCAGAACTGTGCTCTGTAGAGCTTTCACTCTGTGACCCCTGATTGCCAGGCCTTTCTTCCAAGGCATCTCGGGGTGGACTTGAACCACCAACTTCTGGTTAGAAGCTGAGTGCTTCAGAGCCTGCGCCTCTCAAGCCCATCTGGCTCCAGCACACCTGAAACAGGACACTGACCAGCTCTCTGATGGGGAGTGTGCAGCAGCGGGAGGGCAGCCAGGAGACTGGACTCTGAGCTTCAGGCCCCGTAGACGCCTAACCAGCCTGGGCAGAGCTCATGGACTCGTGCTCGGAAGCGTGGGACGGCTCTGGGCACAGGCTGGGTACAGCCCGTGTCAGCAACCACAACAAGCTCCTGGCTCCAAAGTACAGGGCCAGTAAGACGACTGGATTCGGAGCTACGGGAGGGGACTCGGAGTGAAGGGATGGCATAAAACCGGAAGGAGACGGGCTGTGGGGCAGCCGAGGGAAGCTGGGTGAGGACGAGGCCGCTCCTGGAGCCACCAGGGTGTGTGCCCGGGAGGAGCTGGTGCCAGCCCCCAGCAGGCAGCCTGGGCGGGCAGCTGAGTCTACAGGGCTGCCTGAGGCCTAGCCCTGGCCTTTTATGGCCAGCTCTGAGCAGGCGTGACTCAGCGCCTGATCACTGATCGCGGGCTCCTCGCCCGGTCTAAGCAAGGCCCTCTTTGCCTCTGCAGACTCGGCCACAAGCTGAAACTACCAGGAATCCACACAGCTGGGGCCGTAGCGAGGTCAGAGTGCAGCGACTGGGGCTGGGACGTCCCAATGGGCTCATGCTCAGCAGATGTTAGCTTTGGCCTGGGAACTAGGACATCGTGTGGGGAGATGAGGTCACCCTCCCAAACTCCACCCAGCGTGTCCACTCCCCCCACGGGGAGGGCAGGGGGTTCAGGGAGAGAAAGGCGGTGGAAGACCCAGTGTCCCTGAACCATGTATCATACTGGCCCACTAGCAACAGGCAGCTTAGTGCCCAGACACCTGGGGCCTGAAGGGCACCTTCTTTCCCCCACCCCCCGGTCACTGGTATCAACAGAACTAAGTCCATTTTTTGTGTAGGTGAATGAAATTCCTCATTTTATATTTTATTATGGAAAACACGCACACTTTCAGAGAGAGGACAGCAGAGTGATGGGTCAATGAATGGTCAAATACACGAGTCACAAAAAGGGTGCCAGCATGCAGACTGAGGCTGTGACATTAGACACGTGACCACATGGCACACCTCTGCCAGCTCCCTGCTGCTCCTGGCCCCCGAGGAGGAAGGTCTCACCCAGCCCGAGAGCCGCCGTGTTTCAACAGGCATCCAGGGCAGAGCCCAGAGCAGGCATCACGGGGCAGTGAGCGTGGCAAAGCCAGCCTGATGCTTGGCCTAGAGCTCAGTGCCAAGTGACAAGGACGGCGAGAGCCTGCCAGCGGCCCCCTTAGCTACAACCAGACCCCAACACATCCTGCTTCCCCAACGTGCTGTCCAGTTGCCCCCAGCTCTGCAAGAGTGGAGTCAGGGCAGGGCACGGGTGTCCACCCAAACCCACCTTCCATCCTACCATCAGACAGCTCCCCTACAACCCCCCTAAGACTTCCCCCACATAGCCCCTAAAGTAAGAAGCTACAGTGGGCTCAGAGAGAGAGAAGTGAATGTACTTCCCAGTAAGGGACCTGAGAGTCGACTGGGCTATCTCCACGTGGCAGGGGGGGACAGCAAGGCTAGCCCGAGTGATGAGGCGCTTAATAAAGCCAGAACCACCTCTGAGAGGGGAAGGTGAGCCGCTGCAGGCTCTCAACGTCCTGGGCACGGAGAACAGGAACAATGAAAACAGTGGCTGCAGGCGACCAGGCCAAGTCAGCCGTGTCCCGCCCCAGGGAAGTTTACACAGGCTCCGTGCATGGGTCTTGGCTCTGTCCTTACACGCCTCTTCCAGGCCCCTCGGCTCCTGGCGGCGCCTAACTCCCACCAGGTGTTGGCTGGCCTCCCGCTGCTCTCTGCCTTCCTGAGAGGGGTCACCCCCAGCGTGGAGGCAGAAGGGGAGTCGTTCGGATGAGTCCTCACCCTGCCCCACAGCGTTCTCCAAAACACAGGTAGTCCAGCAGCTGGGGGAAAAGCTGCCTCATACATTCCGAAAGTTTCTAGAACATGAACAATACTGGACTTGTCTCCAGTAGACCTCTGCTTCCTGCCATTCAAGCTACCGGAGCCTTGGCATTTCTCGCCATCCCTCTCCATCGTGTGTTCCCAGGGCTTGGTGGGTCCAGGGGAAAGGCGGGCAAGAGAGTGAGCCAGCGTGTGGACCAAGCACTCAAGACACATTCTTCCAGATGGAGCCGTACAGAAGAACAGAGGAAATGGAAGCACAGGTACACACCCAGCCTGGCCAACAACCCGAATGCCCATCAGCAGATGGAAGGACCCAGCGCCGTGCACGTCCACACGACGCACACAACTCGGCACACAGAGGAACAAATGAGACGCTGAGACGCGGCCGAGTCCCTCACACGCGGCCGAGCCCCTCACACGCGGCCGAGCCCCTCACACACGGCTGAGCCCCTCACACGCGGCCGA